TCGATGTCTGTCACCGCATGCATTTGTTTCACGTTTGCGAATCGGTCTGAAGTGGTAGTGTGTCTTAAGGACTTGTTTAGAAGCCGTTGAAGTTTTAATATTGGGTGGCAGACATCGAGCACACACTGAGCATCAGTATGTAAACTTTGGTCATACATGACCATAGGCACAATCCACACAACAAAGTTTGTTCGATCTCGTACTAAAAATACTAAAAATCACTGTAACACTGCACATCATTCAATGGCGGCCATTTCTGTTGTTTACAATTCTTGTGCTTTGGGTTTGTACAGATTAATAATCGTTTTAAACGTTGTGTTTCTTACAGAGAGACTTGCAAGCCTTAAAAGAGACTTCAAAGTGGTAAGAACAATCATTTTACTCATCTATTGTAAAAAATAAACCTTATTCTATCAGGGCTGTCAAATGTCAATTTGAAGGTTAATTTGTGGGTTATAAAATAACCTTAAGGCTTGCAAGTCTCTCTGTAAGAAACACAACGTTTAAAACGATTATTTATTTGTACAAACCCAAAGCACAAGAATTGTAAACAACAAAAATGGACGCCATTGAATGATATGCAGTGTTGCAGTGATTTTTAGTATTTTTAGTACGAGATCGAACAGACCTTGTTGTGTGGATTGTGACCATAGGCAAAGTTAACAGGCTGTTAAACAAAAATAGCCCCTTCTCTGTCCTATAGGTATTATACCTATAATATAATATAATATAATATAATATAGGACTTTTGTTTGAGGCGGTTTATGTGGGGGCGAAGCAGAGTCTTCTGTCAAGAATGATGCCAAGGTATTTGGCAGTGTCGGTTGGCCTAATGTCGTAGTTGGTTAAGCATGTTGGTGTAAATATGCGGTTGCTCGTGAATTTCTCCGAGAAGTTTATGCACTCTGTTTTGCCATGGTTTATGGATACTTTCCATTTCTCGTAATATTTGAGGGAATGTGCATAAAACGCAGTCTTATCCGCGAACAACCCTTATAGCTTCGATTTGTGAATGTCCGCTGTGTAGAGTGTATACAGACTTGAAGCCAAAACTGTTCCTTGCGGCACTCCAGACTATATGTTGTGGCCTTTGGATTTTTCCCGGTTGACTGAAACTTAAAAGGTTCTTTTGGTCAGAAATGCGTGGATAAGTTTAAATGTTGGGGTGGGTAGTCAAATTCTATGAGCTTTGTGACAAGACACCATACCTTGTCGAACCTTCCTACGTTAAGCAGGGCCATAACTGTGTTCTGTCCCCTGTTAAAGGCCTGCTTGACGTCAAAGGCGATCCTAGTTACTTAGATTGGGCCGAAACCCAAACTGTTCGGGTAGAATGATTTTTAGTTTTGCTCCGTCTGCCTTTTTGGATAAGTTGGATTATAGACTAATAGGCCTATAGCTCGCACAATAGCTTGTTGAAATGGCAGGTTCCACCAGTGTTGCCAGTCGTACCATTACAATGGTAGATAGATAGATAGATAGATAGATATATTTCATCGTAATTGCCAATTTACATTGGATAGATATGTCACAATAAGAAAATAACCTGCATATGCAGTATATATATACTTGCAAGTTTACACGTATTCATATCAATAATATATAATATTACAATTTCACATTCCACAATTTATAATACTTAATACACATAACAATGTCAATCTATATTCTCCTACACTTAAAATTAGAAATATTAAAACAGTAGTAAAAATTATCGTATAGGCAAAGATAAGGCGGCAGTGAACTCGTTTATATTATAAAAAGCATTTTCATATAAAAAAGTTTTCAGTTTATTTTTAAAACACCTTAAGGAATGCTCATTTTTTATGTGTGGCGGAAGCATATTAAAATAATGACAACCGGCATATACAGGTGATTTCTTGTAGAATACACGAGAGAATTGAGTTAATCGAAAATCGGTATTTTCTCGTGTATTATAATTATGTATGTGCAAATGTCTTGGAAATTGATGCGCGTTTTTAAAAATAAACATTAACAACTTAAGCATTTTTTATAGTCAAAAAAGGATTATACGTCTTATCTTTGACCTGGAATATAGGGAATCGTGTTTAACTACTTTTAAAAATAAGAGAATTTTTACTTTTACTTGTATATATCTATTTAATTAAATAGATATATACAAGTAAAAGTAAAAATTCTCTTATTTTTAAAAGTAGTTAAACACGATTCCCTATATTCCAGGTCAAAGATAAGACGTATAATCCTTTTTTGACTATAAAAATGCGGTTCGTTCCCACAGCCGATCCATAGGCAATAATATTGTACCCAATTGACGAGTAGACTAGCGCATAGTAGGCGGATACAAGTCCGCGTTCATCTAGCCCACTCTTTAACGTTCTTATGGCAAAGTAATGTTTGTTTAGGGTTGTGCAGATATGATCTATACATTCGTTCCAACTTAATGTTTCGTCGATAAATGTTTCCAAAAATTTAGCACTATTTACAATACAAATTTGTTTACTATTGACGTATAAAAATGAATTTAGATCAACATTTCTTGGTCGATATTGGGTGTGAAATTCAATTGCAACGGTTTTGCTATAATTTATAATTAGCATATTTTTTCGGCACCAGTCGTCAAACGCCTTTAGGACTTTATTTACTTTGTGGATTAAGTTTTCAAAATTTGTGCCGGAAACAACCATGCCTGTATCGTCAGCAAACATAAATTTATGTTTGCTGACGATACAGGCATGGTATTTATACAGTGGCGTCCTGAATAAATTGGGAAATTAGAAATGAATATATCCAGTTGGATATCTTACCGCGAATTCCCATTTCTACTATTTTTTTGTACACAAAGTCGAACTTAAGAGTGTCAAAAGCCCTAGTCAAGTCAAATAGTAATACAATAACAAATTCGTTGTTGTCAAGCTTATCGTGAATTAATTGAACAAAATTTAAAGTTGCCATTTCAGTAGACCGGCTCTTTCTAAACCCATATTGTTTATCGGCAAACAGATCATTTTCTTCCAGGAATAAAGTGATTCTATTTGCCACGGCTTTTTCCATTACTTTGGAGATTACACTTAGTAGAGCCACTGGTCTGTAATTTTCTACATTTAAGGGGTCGCTTTTTTATGTATAGGAACTATTATGGATGTTTTTAATTTTTGAGGAAATTCTTCACAATCAATAGATTTATTTAGAATATTGCATATTATTTCCGATAATTCATCTGTACATTTTTTTAATAAAATAACAGGTATTTCGTCTAAACCGGTAGATTTTTTGTTTTTTATGTTTTTTATAATATTTTTTATTTCATTACAACTGAAAGGTTCTGAACCTATTTCTTTTTGAATTGCGTTTTTATTGTAAGTGCAATTTTTTGATGAATAATTTCCAAAATGGTTTTTTATATGATCGTTTACCACTGACTCAAAGTATTTCCCAAATATATTACATATTTCACTTTCATTTCTTGTTATAGTTTCGTTAATTTTTAGATTTATTTCGTGTTTACTTTTATTTCTATTTAATTTTTTATTGACCAAGTGCCAAAGCGTGCGCGATTTGTTTTCAGAATTATTTATTAAATTATTAAAGTGGTTTTGTTTAGCTTGTTTAATATTTAGCTCGTGTTTCTTTTTTAATTTTTTATAGCTTCTTTGTAACTCTTCACTGGATGAACATTTTCGAATTTTATTTAAAAATTTTAAGTCTTCGGATTCTCGTTTTAGATCATATGTAAACCATTGATCTTGTATAATTCTGAATTTGGTTTGGCTGATTTTATTTTTTTTGGAAACGCGCACTCGAATGCCCATTTTAAATGTTCCCAGAAAAAGTTAAAATAATCATTTATGTTATGGCTTGAGTTGTTAAAAAGATTATCTTTATTTAAAATATGTTTAAAATAGTTTATGTTTAGGGCGATTCCGTACTCGCGGGTGCAACATTTAGACTCACTCAAGGCTTCTTACTAAGAAAATAAAAACTCCTTTTAAAGAAATGACTAGTCGCAGGATTACATTGTAATCTGTTTTACAAAAATTAATATAAAAAACATTTAATAAAATGTATAAATAGACACAGGAGAGGTTCAAAGTGCTATCGCGGGTGCAACGAAATCGGCCCACCATTAAAGTTCCTGAAGCTAGAATGAAAAAAGTCTGTTAATTATGGAATATTTACTAAATTATTTTTACATTATTTAAAAGAATATAAAATAAACTAATTATTAACTTAAATAAAATTATTAAAAGAAAAAAATATTATAAATTATTCACTTTTTATCCAGTCGCGGGTGCAACGTAAAATTATCGCGGGTGCAACTCGTCTCACTGTAGTGAATATAAACATTTCCATGTAAGTTTAAATTAAAGATATGAGACCATAGATGCTGTATCACTAATTAGCACTTTCCTATGTAACTTAAATAAATTATTTGTTTGGAATAGTCGGCGATTTATCAGCCTTAAGGTTCATCTTCAGAATCGCTGTAAACCAGTACTGTCCAATTCAGCTGCCCGCAAGCGAGTCTCCGGGCCAACGTGGGTTCGGCGCGGGCGGTTGTAGTAGAGATGATACAAAATACTAGGAACAGGTATTTTGTAACAGGTATAACCAAATAACAGTCTGTAATAGGTATCGATTCTATAAAATACTAGGTACACCTAGTATTTTATAAAATACTAAGTACACCTGGTATTTTATAAAATAGGTACACCTAGTATTTTATAAAATACTAGGTACACGTGTACTAGGTACCTAGTATATTATAACATACTAGATACCTACACATAGTATTTTATAAAATACTAGGTACACATAGTATTTTATAAAATACTGCTTGATATAAAGTATGTATATATAAATAAGGTTTCAAATTTTGTTTTCTCTTTAAAAAAATTTGAACAAAACATAAACTTGAATTTGAAATTAATTGAAACCATTACAAATTTAAGTTAATAAATAAGCCTTACTTATTACTTAATTAAGTCTTAAATACCGCGTCATGACCTGATCAGCTGTTGTCAATGCCGATAGCTGCCGTTATAATCTGTAACAGCCAGTAATGGCAGATTATCTGCCGCAGATAGGCCCGGTCGAAAGGTGATGGGATCAGTTTTTACCGATACGGAGTAGCAACCACTGGTTGCATCGGAGCCGAAAATACTAGGTATTAAAATAACAGGTATTTGGAACATGGACTTGGACCTGTTATGTGAGGTACCTGTTCCAAAAAAATACTGATTTGTATCATGTCTAGGTTGTAGACTAGTGGGGAAAGTACGCATCGATTTAGTCGTGGGCGTTTGGTTCGTGTCGATTTAGTCGTAGTTTGTTGTAGGGCGTTTATATCATATATCTATATATCTATATACCTACCTATATAGATATATGGTTTATATGAAAATTTAGGTTTCTTTATTCTTTTTGTATTTTTATAAGTTTTGCAAATGACATGTTTTTTGCAAATAAGGCATTGGGATTCTCCGCCATGCAATTTACACAAATAAAGATATTCCCAGTTTTTATTGAACAATAAACTCCTACGTTTTCGAATTTCGGTATCGTCGATAATAATTATTTCAGAATTCATAATAATAATTATTTAAATCAACAAATCGTCAGAGATAGTTAAGCTCGGTACTGTCACTTTGACGCTTCTCCTAGCTGTCATATCACACCATGCATGGCCCGCGCGGGCCCGCGACGTGCCCGGCCGGGCAAAATGTCCGTATGGGCCGAATTGGACATGCCTGCTGTAAACATAAGAAACGCGTAACTTTTGCGTTACTTTTTTTGTAACTTTTCTACGTTTTTTTTTAGTAGCAGTTGCCTATAGCAAAAATTATAAAAAATATACAAAATAAATAAATTTGTATCTAGTAAAAAATGAAAATATTTACCTACCATTTAACAATACATTCGCCGTTTCCTCATCTACTTCTAAATTTATATCCCTTCCCTGATGATTAAGGCTTATATTTACCATTCGAATTTTAATCATTTTTAATTTTAAAATTAACTGAACTGTTGGTTCAACCCAAAAACCCGGTAAAATTAGCTAAACTCAAAAGCTCGATATCGAGAACTGTCAAACATAGTAAAAATAAACAAAAAACTTGCATTAAAAAGAGAAGAATATTTACCGCTACCAGTAACACTACTCAACATCTGTGTTACTCAATTCTTAACCGCGGTTACTGATTTGACATTTCATGCAGTTACCGGTTACTCGCTAAAATAAAATGGTTTTAACTTTTTATTACCAGTAACTCGCTAAAAATTCCCTAATGTAATCGTAAGAGTCATAAGTGTTGCACCCGCGATTCTAATATTTTGATCGCGGGTGCAACTCATTTTAGTCAACGTTAATTTTAATTAAAATGACAATATACCTTCTATTGCGACTGAATCAAGTTTTCCTTTTATTTCTTCTTACTTCTACAAAGTTTCAAAAAATTACCAATTTATTTCTTCAAGAAAACCAAACTTTCATTTCTTTTATATCGCGGGTGCAACTGACCAACAATGGTTTCTTATTTAATCAATATTGTTAGAAAAATAATAATAAATATTTAATTTTTTTATATAAGGCAATAAACAAATGTTATGACTTTATTATTCATCAGTGAAATATAAACTCAAACCACCGGTAATAGCGATTTCGTGGAAAAATTATGAAGTGTCGATGAATGGTTTGCATCAAGTCTTCAGGCGCCACCATTTCTGAGCGCGCCAAATATTCAAATAATAACTTAAGTTCTTCAAAGTTTTTTTATTATTAAATTTATATCTTTCTCTTTGTATTGGTATAAAAAAAGTAACAAATACTGTGATTTAAAAATTTATGTCAAAAATCGTCTCCCGCGGAATCGCCCTTTACATTTGAAAATGTTCGCGATGGTCTTTGTACTCTTTTTATATTATTTTTTACGTATGCTTTGTCTGGTAAAGTAATCATCTGGGCTGTATGATCAGACACGCCAAGGTGAAGAATTTCATACCCAATATGATCCTCTATATTAGTTAATACATGGTCAATAGCTGATTCTCGGGAACAATTTTTGCGTTTATCATAACGAGTCGGCTCATTTATTATGGATTTTAAGTTGAATGAATTTAAGATGTCGTTATATGTATTTGTATTTGCATTTTTAGTTAGTAAATCTATATTTGTGTCTCCACAAACGATAATTTTTTTATATTGGTTTAAAAGGTTGTCTATAATTTTACAAAACTGGTTAAAAAATGTTTCGATATTTCCCGGAGGACGGTAAACTACAAGTATACATATATCATTACCCATGGAAATAGCAGCACATTCAATGTCCATTTCAACTGATGAAGCCGCAATGCCCTTTAATTCTTTGCACTTGGAAAAATGCTCCGAATTTGTGAGAATTGCCACTCCACCGTGAAATGTGGTTTTCGTACCGAATCCCGCAACAGTATGATAATCACCTACATGAAAATTTCTAAAATCATCATTTAGTAGCCAATGTTCACCAATTAATAAGAAATCAGGACTTTTTTCAATTAAAACTGTTTCTAGTATGTCTACTTTATTAGAAACACCCTGTATATTAAAATGCAATATGTTTATACTTTTTTTTGTTATTTTTAAATGAATGAGTTCACTACCTGCCTTGTTTACTTGTTTTGTTTTATTGTAATTCATAAAAAAGAGCCAGTTTGTTTATTCAGGAATTCCTGGTGTTTATCAAACATAAATCTTTTAATTCCAACGTTGGGTGGCCAGAAGCTGGGTTCATACATTTCATCTTTCTTTGAAAGTGGTCCAGTGACGACGAAACATTTGCTGAATTGAGTTTTTCTTTCCAATTCTTTGACTTCTATAGATTCGTTCTGAAAGCCTTGCTTCTGCTGGATAAATTCTTTAATTTCTTCTGCTTTAGCTTTACTGTCAACTCGGTTTATATATAGCCATACTTTACGATCCACGCCTGCAAATGAACTTGTAGCAACCTTTTCTCCTGTTCCTAGTCTTTTTGGCTTCCTGTTCTTTTTTGTTACAGTTTTCCAACCGGATTCGTTTTGGTTTTCTTTATTCTTAAAAAAGGTTTTTACCGTTTCTGTAATTTGTTTGTTTATTTTCTCTGTATTTGTTATTGTTTTTCCTTTGCGTTCTTCTTCTTCTTCTTCTTGCTTCTGTTGATTAGCTTTCGGTTCAATTGAACTACTTTTTGCCAGCGTGGGCCAATTTAACGATTTGTGGTTATCTGTACTTGACTTTGGTGGTGTAACTGCTTGAATAAAATTTATTTTTTCCTTTAGGAGTTGTATATTCTCTTCTAGAATGCTATTCTTTCCTTCCATTTCTTTGATTATTCTACGTAACAATGCGTTTTCCGTTGCCAGACTGTTGTTGTCCGCCATAACCTCTGTTGTGTATTCGTGTAGACACTTTGGGTTTTTCACTCTGTTAGCCAATTTTATGCAGCTGGGGTGAAACTTCTCGTCACATTTGTTACACAAAACACTCTCGCGAACAATGTTTTTACAGTAAGAACACAATATGTTTAGACTTTCGTCAGGAGGTTTTTCTAACACACCTGTTCCGGTCGCCATATTGACTTATGTACATGTACCATTTTTGGTACATCGTACCATCGTCAGTTTATGTACCATTTTTTACGATTTTGTATCATTATGTGCCATTATTTTTTAGACGGAATTGTTTTTTTTTTAATTTAATGCTAATTTGGTAAATTTGTGTCCACTTTTATGGTGGAAAATGTAATTTCTTGCCTATATATACATACTGCGCCTCGTAGGTAGGCAAGACAAATTACATTTTCCTGCGCTGTCTATTAAATGTTTGTGATATTAAACCAGAGAAGCGCGCAAGTTGCACGGGGCAACCAATAAATGTTGTTCTGTAATTTCTTGAATTTCTGAATAATGTATGTTTAGTGTTCTGTCACAGAACTTCTGTGGTTTGACAGTTGGAGAACTATAAACTCACGATCAAGAAATTTTTCTAAATTGAAGATTTCAATGTAATATTTGGATATTTCAAAATGAAATGTGTACCATTAAATACCATTTAATCGAGAACTTGGTACCACTTTTTGTTCCACTCATTTGTTGTTGCACTCGCTATGCTTATTAGAGTGGAAAGAAAAAAACATTTTTTTTAATCAATTTTTTGGGGAATGTCTTCCTTGCCTGCAAGGGCTCTGAAGTTATAAAAAACATGCAAAAATAAAAAATATAATAAGACTATTAAATAATGAATATGCACTATTACTCACAGACACCCCTCTATAACAGCATAAATGATTACTCTTTCTTGAATTATGCTCCAAAATCGTAAACTTATCTCCCACTCTTTTTTTTTAAATACATCCCAGCACTGCAAGCGATCTTAGGGCCGGTTTTTCAATTAGGGTTTAAACCTTGGTTCAGGGGAACTTAGATCAGTTAATGAACTCAGTTCACAGTCAAATGAGTTTTTCAATGTCGACTCAACAGCAGTTCTGTTGAACTTAGATCATCGTTAAGTTGGTACAACCGAATTTAGTATACGCCTACATTAATAGCAGTTAAAACTGTCATTTTGACAAAAGGATTTTGTGTTTACTTTTGTAGTTTTGTTTATTTGTGCTGTTTTAAAAAGTTCTAATATGTGCGAAAGGGTGCTTTAAAACAATTTACTATTGTTAAAGAACAATAATTATTATTTATTATGGATAAAAATCGTGCTGCCAACTTTACCTCTTTTAAGGAGGAATTATTGGTATGTATTTCGTTTTAGTATATGAATTTGTCGTTTTTTGCTACATGTGATGAATTTTACTAAAATCCATTACCTATTCAGTAATTATTTTTATAACTAACTTATTGGTCGGATTTGCAATAACTGGCAAACAATTTATCATTATTCCACCTTGCAAAATGATTCGGTCTAACCCGTGGCCTGTGCAAACGAAGTTGAATATTATTTAGGAATTCGCCAATTTCCTCATCATCCTCACTAACTACCTTAAACATATCCATTGGTTTATTATAACAGCAGATCACAAAACAAGAAATAATCAACGTATTACACAATAAAGAAGAGAAAAATTAAGTTATGTCAAGTTGAACTTCGTTTAAACGGCCAACAGTGACGGTTCATCTTTTGATTTAGTTTAAACCAAATTCAAGCTTGAACTTTGATTAAAAAACGGCATATTTTGTTTGAACCAAGTTCAAATGCTG